AGAAAGAAATTAGAATAGGGAATAGAAGCGTAAATAAGAATTTTTAAGAAATTGTCTGGACATTGATAAGAAATTGGGAGAAGAGTCGAGAGATCTATTTTGGGGTGGGGTCTCTGCGTGAGAAGAAGAAGAAAGGAAGAAAAGAGAAGGAAAAAAATGGAAAGAGGGGAAGAGTTATGGGAAAAAAAATAATAATATAAAATAAAAAAAAAGGGAAGAAAGAAAGAAAGAAAAAAAAGGACAAGAATAAAGGAAATAGATGGGTGAGGTGACGGGAGAAGGATAGGATTTAAGTGAAAAAAATATATATTTTAGATTTCCCAAATCATACTCATATTCTTAGTCCATGCCTTAATCCTTACTTCTAATATTTAATCTAATTTATTATTTATAATATATATATATATATATTGTATTAGAAATATATATATATTAATTTCAATTTTTTATATTGTAGATTTCAATTACTTCGAGGTGTAGGATTTTTCATCAATTCGAGTATATCAGCGTAGGTTGCAAATTATTATGGTGGGATTTTATTTACAAAACTCAAATATTTATTTTTTACATGTTGCATATAAATTTTATGTGATGTTTCTTAAACTTATAATAATACATATGCATTTCATTCATATCTATCACAAATCTTCCATACGAATTGAGTTGAAATTATTTGGGATGTTTTCCTTCTCCAATCGGTCCATGTACTTAGATCTGTCACAATGCACTACTTCCATACCGTCTTCGACCTTTTTTATTTTTTATTTTTTTTTTTACATGTCCCGCTCATGCAATTTGGTAACAAATCAAACCGGATATGATAATGTTTATTAAACCAATTTTTCGTCCAAAAATTTTGGGTGAGAGAAAGCAATTGCAGTTCCGTGGTATTTTTTTCGGCCGTTCAAGTTGGAAGAGAGAGTTTTGGTATGGCCAATAAATTGATCACGTATAAAAGTCATCAACTGATAGAAAGACAATTTCAATCTTGGATTGTTATTTATTGGAATAATAGTTAGAATTATTTATTTATTTCTATTATATCGTCATTATATCCCTATTAAAAAAATTAAAATTTCTAACCTTTGTAAATTTATTAAAATTTTTTTAGAAAAAATTCGGATTATACTATGAAATATTCCAATTTTTATTCATAAAATCACACAAGCAATTGAGTGTTATATTTATCTAACTAAAACACCTTCTTACAATTTGGAAAGAATCCAAACTTATATGGACAGTATAAATTAATAAAATTACAGATTTTGGTAAATTTCGACTACACAACAGTGTGAAGTTTTGTTAACTTTTTCATAAAACTTTTTCAAAAAATCACACCAATTTATCTACCTGAAACACTTTATGAAAAATCCATACTACTCCACCTGAAACACTTTATGAAAAATTCAGACTACACAATCGGGTGAAAGTTTGTTGTTTTTCGAAAAATCATAATAATTGGTTGTTACATATTACTATATAATACAGTTAAGAAAAAAATTCTAAAGTGAAAAGTCATTTTTCTCGCTTCTTTTTCGATTTTTACCCTTTATGGATTTTTTTTTTGAATGTTTTTGATAAATCCCGTCCGTACAATTCTTTTGCGCGGATTGACTTTTTCAAAAATTTTGGATCCAATTTAAATGCATTACACGTGAATCCGAAATCCTAAAATCGTGGGCCGAATTCCGTATTCCATATTTAATTATACAATTTTGATTTGATTCCTATCTTTATTATTCTTATGTTCTAAAATCGTTCTAAATTTGATATTTTAACAATAAATTGTGAAACCTTTCTAAACGTTCTAAATTTGATTTTTTAACAATAAATTGTGACACCTAAATCCTAAATCGTGGGCCGAATTCTATATTCCATATTTAATTATAGTGTTTGTTTTGATTCTCATCTCTATTATTCTTATCTCTAAAATCGTGCTAATTTTGATTTTTAACAATAAATTGCAAAATGACAATTTTATATAATATTATCTTCCAAATGATTTTAATAATTTTATTAATTTATATCTTTTAAATGTTTCTAACATGATTGTAATTGGCAAGTGAAATTATAAGTGGAAAAAAAAAAATTAACACTCATACAATTTGATTGATTAATAATTGGAAAGAAAATAATAGTTGAGTATTATGATGAACTAAAATTATTATTTTATATATATCACAAAATAAATATAGATGTTAAAATTGTATTTATTAATATTAACGGTTAGTAAGCTAATATATTAAAGTGTTAAAGAAAGTTTTAAAAAACAAGCCTGCCGTGCATCGCACGAGACACACACTAGTTAATATGGTAGAATTAAAGGAGAATGCTACCATCCCGCGGATCCAGAAATTTTAATGAACCAGGGCAAAAATTGTTGAAACTGTTTTAACCATATTGCACAAAGTACTTATATTAATAATTAATAAAAATCGTTTGAGCGATCGGGAGTTGAGGGTTTTCCTATTCAATTTTTCTTTGACTTGAAGCTAAAAAATGAAATTGAGAATGATGTTTGGTTATTTTATTTTGCCTTTCTATTATTGTTAAGAAATATAGCAAAAATATTTTATATTTTTTTTCCTTTTTTTGTAGTAAGTTATTAACAAGTCGTTTTGAGATATAACTTATTAATTTCAGAAAAGCCTAAATGTCATCATTTTTGTTCATGTTATTTTATAAAGAATTCCTTATAGCTTATCTTCTTATATATAAATGTAGAGTTTTTCCACTGTCAATTTCCATCGCTTTATAATTCTATATGTTAATATCTTAGGATTCAAAATAATCCATATAAATATTGATCTTTATCCAGGACTTTCAAATTTAAACACTTGACTCACTTAAATGATAATATATATTTTAAAAGCTAATACCACTCATATATGCTATCATTTTTTTCATATATGATAATTAAATTAGTCATTTTGACAATTTATAATTTGACATTCATATTGTATATATAAATTAAAATAAATATGTCTATTTGATCTCTATCAATAAAAAAATAATATTTATCAATTATAATTGAAAAATAATAAATTTATCTATCAAGCTTATTATATAGCCTAAGTACTAAAAATATTGTAATATAATACTGTCATATCTGACAAATGAGGTATATCATTTTAAATTGAAATAATAATGTTATTTGGTAGAATTGTTTAAAATCTTAAAATAAAAACTTGTATTTATATATTTATAAATATTGCATATAAATTCTTAATTAACACATATTAACTATATGAATTGTATAGTTAGCACAAAAAATCCAGCTGGACAATATGTAGATCCGCCCCTGCATCCCGTAACGGGATGGTTCTGTTGTCTTTTTTAACCATAGATTGTATACACATTACTAGATTACATGTATATCTACGGCTACAAAAGACAACGGAACAATCCCGTAACGGGATGGTAGCATTCCCCAGAATTAAAATATATGTTGAAGAATTCAACAAAAAAAAAAAAAAANNNNAAAAAAAAAAAAAAAAAAGTGATACAATTGATAATGAAACAATATGTAAAGTTTTCAGTGTAAGTTGGAATAATTACTTAACAGGCTCAGCTTTCATGAAGCTTCTGTGATATGAGAACACAAAGTTACCCAAAATTTTTTGTACAATCGAATACAACAAAAACACGTACTGAGAGTAACTAACTATCCACAGAACTCCAGCTTGTAGCTTGCAGCATTAACCCAAGAAGCCAAAACTTGAAGAACCTTTAAACCTGTATACAAACTGTAACATATCATGATGCTCATTTTGCCTTAAAGAATGAATAAAACAAATGACGTGCCAACGTAAGTGTTATAGCAGGAAGGAACAGGGGGAGCTTTAGTGTTTATGACAACTATTTGCCAACAGTGTTTGATCGAGATTGTTGCATATAACTTTTTCCAAGACAATGGGTAGCTAGTGAATGATCAATAAATAGTAATGCTGTTCTCGAAATGTTGTGGTCATTGACATGCTTTGGAATTCGAGAAAACTTGTTGTTAGCCTACATATAAAAAGGTATGGCATTTCGAAAAAGTTACTCCTGTGCTTGCTTGCCTTACATATAAAAAGGTTGAGACTCACCAAGTTGATTCTCACTTGAAGGTCATCGTTACCAATGCTCTGTTGATCCTCTTGGATAGTTTTAGCCGAGCAAACAGCAAAATGTCCACAGGAATAGAGCTCGATCATTTGCAGTGTAGGAATCTCCCCTACATCACAAGGGATCTCTTCCAAGGCATCACATAGCCTCAGAACCAAGTGCCTGAGACAAGGAAAATCAAACCTCGTTGCTGTCCAAACTTCCAGGTCAGTATTCTCCAATAACAGGAACTTAAGCCTCAGAAATCCCCCGGCCACTGTTTCCCATAATCGGCCCACAAAGGCGTGGTCTTTCAATTTGAGCACCTCAAGCGTGGGAATCTTACCAATAGAGACCATGTCTATCCATGGCAGATGGCTCCCAGATAAAGTCAAAGCCTTCAGGTTCGGAGGGAATGCATCCCACTGGGAAATGACCGATGATCTTCTTCCATTTCGTGGTCTGAATGACAACTTCAGTTTCTCGAGATGCTGTAACGAAGAAAGGCAGTTTAGCAAATTTTCCAGATTGTCGTCATCATTCACTAGAATTCCCAACGTTTTGAGGTTAGGCATGAAGGATCCGATTTGGTTACTGAAATTGTGGGAGCTCATGGTCAATAGAGTTTGTAGGTTCAGTAGCACAAATGAACTTTCTTCCTCTAAGAAGAGATTGTCAAAATAAATTACGCCTCCTCTCAGTCGGACATGCCTTAGCTGTGACATCATACGGATATCGAATGGAAGAATGTGGTTCTCTTGAGATCCCCAGTGAACGATCAAAATCTGTAGATTCATGAGATCAGAGATCGACACATGAAATTCTCCTCCTCGTTTTGGGAATGGAAGGCACCATTTTCCTGTGCTTTCGCTACGTGTAGATACCTCTGAAGGAAGATCACCACTAGTCGAGAGACCAAGATATCTTAAATGAACTAGTTTTAAAACTTGAACAGGAAACTGGCTGAAATAGTAACTGAGTATATCCAGTACCCTAAGAAGTCTAAAACCCATGCGAGAGAGAAAAGAAACCTCCAAGAACAACAACTGGGCCGATAAATTCGAGGATAGAAAGGTACGGACTTGTGGATTTGAGTATTCGGTGACGGCATAAGGAAATATGTCGGAATGGGTACATAGGCGTCGATGAATTTGCTGCCTTTCTGGATAAAACATGTCATTTCTCATCATTACATGCCAAAAGTTTTCTTTCTCGGCTTCTCTCAAGCAAAAAACACGAAGAAGATCGTGTACGCGGCATCTCGTGACTCTGCCATTTGTCCTCTTTTCAGGCAGTACTAAATTTCGGTCAATGAGGTCCACCAAACACTCCTCCGCAACTATTTCTAAGCTTTTCGCAGTTTCCCGCTTCAAAAATCCTTCTGCAATCCACAATGCCATAAGTCTCCACACGGGTATATCAACATTTTCAGAGAAAGCTCCCATATAGAGGAAACATGCCTTCAAATGACGAGGCAAGTGGTTATAACTCATGGCGATGATGTTCAAAAACCGTTCTTGATTTCTCGTGACAACCGAACCTACGTTTTCTGCTACACCCGACCAAATCTCCCAGTTCTTGCTCAATTTGGATAGGTGGCCAGCAACCACAACGATCGCTAGGGGCAGCCCCCGACATTTTTCCACGATTTGCTTACCAATAACCTCCAGTTCTGGTGGGCAGTTTTTATTTGAGAAGATCTTTAACTTTAGTAAATCCCATCCTTCGTCTACACTAAGAAATCGCATATCGTGGGGAGGACAGTTAGATCTAACGTGAGAAGCCACTTCTTTATGGCGGCTTGTCAATATTATCCGGCTTCTGTTCATATCATCGGGAAAAGATCGGCTAATGTCATCCCAGGCAGTACTGCTCCATATATCATCAATGACAATTAGATACCTTTTGCCCTTCAAACTCCTGTACAGCTGCTCAGCTAATTTCTGATCATTCAGCTTGTTCAGGCTGTCTTTCAAGATTATACGGCGCTCGTCTGACTCTTCGTATCTCGAACAAATGTCATCTGTCTGCTGGGCCACAGAACGTATGAGGCCAAGTAGGATGTTCTTGACCTCATACTCTTGGGATACGGTTATCCATGCACGGACATAGAAGTGATACACTATCAATTTGTCATCGTATATTTTTTTGGCCAAGGTTGATTTGCCGATTCCCCCCATCCCCAGAATTGTGAGGATCTCGAGATTGGAACAGGACCCGGTGAGTTGATCTTTGATTTTCAGCAAGTCCTTGTCAAGACCCACGACTGAATCTCCGGCATTTTGTGAATGCCATGATGAACTCCCGATAAAGTTCTGGCCCGCATGTACATTACTTGGACCATGCCTATTTTCACTAATCTCCACTGCCTCTTTCACGATAGCTTCAATTTCTTCAAGCGCTTCGATCAAACCTTGGTGGGAAATCTTATATCTCCTCTTTCGACTCTTCCTTGTGCCTTTTGTACTGTTTCTCATGCTATATGAGTGTGTTTCAATAATATCTTCTGCTCGATGCACTGCATTCTCAATCTTTGTTTCTAAAGTATTCACCTTTTCGCAGTCACCTTGCTTTGTCACAGAACGCTCAAGGAATCCTATGAGAAACGTGAGCTTTTCACCTAACATTGCAAAGTTTTTACTGTCTTGAGGGCTCATGTCTACATTGAGACTTACAGTCAAGTCAAGGGTTTGCAACAGAGAAGACACGGCAGCATATGCCATTTTCACATGTCGAGCAATTGCTGGCAGTTCAATTGCCAAAAGGCAAAAACCTTTAGAATCAGACTAATTTCCCCGACTGTGCGTATAGCTGACAGACACGAGAGATGCATCTTTGATGAGCTAAAGTGCCATTGGCTTCTTCAGCGGGACACAAAGAAATAACATCCTTAAAGGGTACTACAACATTCTTAACAAATGAAAACTACTTGAGCAATTATGAAGAGAAGTAAATATAACAATCCAGAGTTATCTCATAAAAGCAAACAGGAGTGTTGCTCAATGACTATGAATCTCGACAGAAATACAGAGCCGAGCGTACGTCCACCGGATCGGTGGGCAAAAAGGGATGATGGAAAGGGGAAAGATGATGGGCTATGAACAACAACAATATAATCAAGACTACAAGAGACGAATAACGAAGGGATGACTTGTAAGTTGTAGCATTCAACGCAACTACTCGATTTAGCTTACATAACACTTACATGAAATCTGACTGAAAATAAGAAATAGCAACCCACTTATTCAGAATGAAAACAAGAAAGCTGGAAACAATTAACCCTCAGTTGGGTTTTTTCTCCAAATGAACTATACTCAATGTAACTGCAGCTCAACCAATAAAAGGCAAGACTTGAGTTGAGAACATAAATAAACTCGAATCAAGACGCAAAGCAACATGAATGTTTCTCCCAATACTTCGACTGAAAAATAGATATGGGGGTTTTAGTTGAATCACCTGCAGTAATGGCTGGCGGCCGTAGGAGTTGGAGTTGAAACTTAGTAACTTCCAGTAAAGTGGCACTGGAGTGAGTGAAAAAGACGTATGCCGCCGCCTCCATGGACTTTCCTAGCCATGGGTCGGCGGGTCGGGTCCATCCACCACAGCCACGTTCTGCGAGTTTATGGATAGGACCACTTTCCAATCTTGTAACTTCCTCGTGAGGATGAGGCAACTAGAATACTTGAACAAAAGGTCCTTCCACAAGAATTGGTTCGTTTGTTAAAATCGTGTTCGAACATAAAATTATGTTCGTTTAGTAATCGAGCGTATTCGAGCTCGTTCGCGAACGTTCCATAAAATTTTTAATCATTAATTTAATATAATTTTATTTCATTTCTTATATATATACATTTAATTAATATACTTTCATTTTATATTTTATATATTTACATGATATTTTTAAGTAAAATCTAAAATATAATTTTTTTTTATCATTTTTGAGTTCGAATAAGTTCGAACAAATAAATTTCGGGTATGAACGAACTCGAACAATAATGAACAATTAAGTGAACGAGCTCGAATACAATTCTTT